TCCAGAGAGAATTATGTTACTGATTTCTAACTTAATTCCAATGAACTCAGAGAACATACTTTATATGACTTGAACATTTTTAAGTATATTGAGACCTGTTTTATGCCTCTGGAATATTGTCTACCATGTTCCATGTTTCATGTGTACACAGAAAGAGAATGTACTCTGTTATTGTGTGGAACGCTAAGTGTGAATTAGGTCATATTGGGTCATAGCGTTACCTATGTCTTCTGTAACCTTGTTTATTTTCTCTCTACTTGTTCTACTATTAAAAATTAACTATTGAAATTTCTTCTACAAAATTATGCATTTTTCTCTTTCATTTTGCTGCTTTCTTGGTTCTTGCTTCCTGTATTTTGAAGCTCTATAACTGAATGTACAAATGTTTGGGAATTGACTCCTTTTTATATCGGGCAATTACCTTCTTTATCCCTGATAATACTTTTTGATATGAAATATACTTTGTTTGATGTTAATATAACTATTCTAGCTTTCTTTTTGTTAAGTTGGCATCCTATATCTTTTTCCATCCTTTTACTTTTAACTGTTTGTGTCTCTATATTTAAAGTTAGTTTCTTGTAGGCAGTATCTAGTTGAGTCTTGCTCTTTTTAAATTCAACCTGACAATCTCTGCCTTTCATTATATTATATAGACCATTTTCATTCAAGGTGATTATCATATGGTGAAGTCCAAATCTGGCACCTTGATTTTTTTTTTTTCTATTATCCCATCTGTTTTAACCCTTCCACCTCATTTTTCTTCTGGATTAATCCATCATTTTTATTATTCTCCTTTATTTCTTTTGTTTATTAGCTTTAACTTATTATTTTGTTACTTTAGTGGTTGCTTTAGGGCTTAAATAACTTATCACAGTCTACCTCCAAACAGCAGTATACCGTTTCAGGTATAGTGTAAAAACCTCACAATAGTATACTTACATTTCTTCCCTTCTGGTTTTTGTGCTATTTTGTCATGGCGTTTACTTTTTAATGTGGAGTAACTTCACATTACTTTATTATTTTTTTAAGCAATCAATTAGCTTTTAAGGAGATTTAATAATGACTAAAGTCATATGTTCTTACCTATGTAGTTACCATTTCTGATGCTCTTCACTCCTTTATGTGGCTCCATCTTTCCATGTGATAGCATTTCTTCTGCCTGAAAACTGTTCTTTCACATTAGTTCTAGGGCAGATCTGATGGTGATAAATTCTCTCTGTTTTTGTGTGTCTGAAAAAACTCTCCATCTCATTTTTGTGTTTTAAAAATAGTTTCAAGAGGCACAGAATTCTAGGTTGGCAGTTTCTTCCTCTCGGTACTTCAAAGATATTGATTCTCTGTCTTTTTGCTTGCATTATTTCTGGTGGTTAATCTGCTGTTATTCTTATGTCATTCCTTGTAAGTGACATGTCTTTTTTTGCCTGGCCACTTTTAAGAATTTCTTTTCAATGCTAGTGTCGAGAAATTAGTTACGATGGGCCCAGGTGTGCTCCATGTGTCTCCCATCCTCTTTGGCCAGTGGCTGCACAAAGCTTGTACTTTTCATGGTGAATGGCAGGAATCCAAAGAAAACAAGTCAACCATGCAAGCACATTTCAAGCCTTTGCTTGCGCTATGTTCACTGACATCCCTTGGCCAAAGCATGACGCATGGTCACCCCCAAGTCAAGGCATAAGGAAGTGAACTCCATCTGTTATGACGCCAGGGCAGGGCTAGGCATAAGGATTATGCTCAATTGTACACTATATTGGAGGAAGTCCGGTACCTTAATTGTAAACTTAAGATGTCCTTAGCAGAAGACACTTCATGAAATAGAGCATAGAAGGTTATTATAATTGGTAGTTATTTCCCATTGGATATTTCTCCTCAGTGTGGTTTCACATCTAGTCTCCTTTCTTGTGTACACATCCCAGGTCATCTCTTCTAGACTTTGGATGGTAAAACAGTAGTTGGGATCAAGCTCCCAAAAAGCTCAAGAATGTTGGGACCACATCAGATCTACTCCAGTGGTGATGCAGGTGTGAGGAATGAGAAAAGATTCGTTTTCTTTTGTTATGTTAAGGGAAATTACATGTCACTATGTTTAGACATGGAACGACAGCATTGTGAGTACCTCCGTGCCCTTTTATAAAGGAATACTGCATAAACAGGCAACCCTTTTTTGCTCTTTTTGTAGCTCTATTAAATTACTCTTTGATTATGAGTGCCTTAAGGGATAACTGTCAAGTTTAAGGGAGAAAAACCAAATAGAGATTGAGCCTGAAGAAGCCAGTGACACATTTTGAAGGCAGGCAAACTGGTATGATGGATATTTGATGACAGTAATTTTACACAGACATCATTACTAAGAGTAGTAACAATATGGCTTCCATTTCCATTTTGAGTGTCTCTAATATATTATATTCAGTGCATTTCTTGTCTTTATTACTCATGGTAGTCTTACTAGGTATTATTATTCTCATTTTATGCGTGAAGAAATGGGGGCTCCAAGAAGCTGAATTAACTGTCCAGTGAGAGACAGCAAGCAAGTGGCAAAATTGGGGTGCAAACCCAGATTTATTTCAATCAAAGTCAAAGCATAATTGACTAATTTTTTTAATCCTTGATCTCTAAATTCCCATTTGAGCTTCCTTAAGGGGATCTGTTTGGCTCCTAAGGGACCAATGGACATGTTTGTGTGGCCTCAGTTTTTCTGGAGAACAAGCAGAATGTCAAGAATTCCTTTGCACATCTCAGGGGTCCCTAAGATGTGGGACGGGGGTCTCTGCAGCAGCCTGGAATAGCATTGGAGTCACAGGATGGTAGATAACCTGGTTCAGCCCATTCTCTTCATCTCCAAATGGGAAAATGATGCCTCTTGAAATGATCTACCTCTTGATTTTTTTTTTAAGGATTTGCAGCGCAGGTTAAATGCAGTTTGGGGAATACAGTAAAGCAATCCTTTAAAGGCAACAAAGTGCATTCGTGTGAGTTAATGTTCATAAGTGTCAAGTTGTTAGAGCAGTGTGCATCCTAAATGTAATTTAAGTGTTTGCAAAATCTTAAAAATATAACTTGTACCAGTACACAAGTTGATGAAAAACAAAACTCATGCAGATTTTGAATAGGGGCTGAGGGAATCTGTTGACAGTTTTGTGATTGTAATTGTTAAAGACTTTAAGAGGGATCTCAGAAGAGCATTATCCTTGTCAAATTTAAAAGTATATGTGAGGAATAATTGTGCTGCAAAATAGGTAATTCAAGACTAACAGCAGGATATATAAGCAGATTTCCTCCTACAAGGAGTGTGGATATACTAAAAACAATGTATTATCTGTTCTGCCCCCAGGCTTTTCATACATTTCTGAATTTTTAAGTTTTATGTCTATGATCAACATTAATTAAAATAACTCCTGTTTAAATTTTTTGCTAAACATCTCTATTTTTATATAATACTTTATCCATTGTGCCCTTTCAATTTCTAGGCAACAGATGGTCAGAATTGAAGCTTATATCAAATACCAAACATATGTAACTCGAATTGTGTGAAAACTGACCCCAATTCTCTCCACTGTGGTACAGTTTCTGAGGGCTTATTTCAGCTTTGACCTTTACTGTGTAACCTGAGTCTGGGTTAGACCAACCCCAAGGCCATGCTGTGTCATGATCTCACAGTAAATGTGCGTTGCTGGTATAGTGGTAAGCATAGTTGCCTTCCACAGTAAATGAACTAATGTTAGTGCTCAGTATTATAATTTTTTTTTTGCGGTACGCGGGCCTCTCACTGTTGTGGCCTCTCCCGTTGCGGAGCACAGGCTCCGGACGCGCAGGCTCAGCGGCCACGGCTCACGGGCCCAGCCGCTTCGCGGCACGCGAGATCCTCCCGGACCGGGGCGTAAACCTGCGTCCCCTGCATCGGCAGGCGGACCCCCAACCACTGCACCACCAGGGAAGCCCTATAATTATTTTTGCTATTGTTATAACAGGACTTTCATTCTCTATTTGGTTTTCTTTCTAATCTAAAAATGTTCTTGGGGTAGGAGCTCATTTTGCATTGAAAACTGGGGGACGTGTTTTTCTCTCTTTCGCTCCCTCATAAACACAGTTGGGACAAACAGCATTATGGATGAAGAGTGGATCACATGATAACTGAAACCAGGGGTGGGGTACCTCTGAGGGGAAGAGGCAGGTGGGGTGAGATCACAGTAGACAACAATACCTGCCTCTTTTTTTAAAAAAATTAATTAATTAATTTATTTATTTATTGGCTGCGTTGGATCTTCGTTGCTGCACGTGGGTTTTCTCTAGTTGCGGCCAGCCGGGGCTACTCTTCGTTGCGGTGCACAGGCTTCTCATTGCGGTGGCTTCTCTTGTTGCGGAGCACGGGCTCTAGGCACACGGGCTTCAGTCATTGTGGCTCGCAGGCTCTAGAGCACAGGCTCAGTAGTTGTGGCTCACAGGCTTAGTTGCTCTGCGGCATGTGGCGTCGTCCCAGACCAGGGCTCGAACCTGTGTCCCTTGCATTGGCAGGCGGATTCTAAACCATTGTGCCACCAGGGAAGTCCCCCTTACTTTTTAAATCTTAGCTTCCTAGGGGGCATCACAGCAGTGGGTAACTGTACCGGGTCCAAGCCTTAGCCCACCTTATCTACTTGTTCCTCTGTAAATCTTGACCTGAGTTTTCTGAGCTGGCAGAGAAGGAGATTCCTTGGATCTTGGTGGCTTTAGGATACATTTCTCAGACATCCTCTTTGTTGCCTGGACTTGGAGCTGAACAAAGGATAAGAACTGGAGCCTGGACCATGTACCTGAGCATCTTAGGTGGTACTTGGCTGGAGGTGGTTATTTCGCCTCTCATCATACATAAGTAGTGACTCTGGGAGCCCATGGATGAGCCAGCTAAGTGGTAAATTATCAAAGCGTGCTTTGGGGTATCAGCTGAAATTGGAGGGTTATACATGGAATAGATCATGAAGTCTGATCAGATTCAAGCTCGTGCATGTTTTGTTTTGTTTTAACAGAATGAAGTCCCTGAGGTGAAGAAAGAGGAGACCTTGTTGGATCTGGACTTTGATCCTTTCAAGCCCGACATGCCCTCTGCGGGTTCTGCTGGAGTAACCCACTCACCGATGTCGCAGGTACCAAGTGGATTTTTGGATGTTTGGGGCTGATATTTCATAAACTTTAACAAGCTCAGTAAGGCATTCCGCTGACCCCTCTCCCTTTCACGTGACTGTTGACTTTTCTTTTCAGTTGACGAATATTTCCTAATGGGAAGGAAGGGTAGAAAGAGGACTTGATCACTGTCAATTATTCTCAACCTCCCCTACCATTAGCTTTCTCTACCTGCAGAGGTGGGCTAACATACATTCCAGTTTGCCAGGAATCCTCCGTCTCAGAATGGTAATCCACAGAACCACATTTGTACTCGGAAGTGTCCAGGGTTGGATGATATGTTTTATGGCTTCCCAAAATAAGACTGTTTCTTTGGGCTTGGGGTTTAATCTTCTTACTGTTTTCTCTACTTTCCTTCCTCATACTTTGCAAATTAAGGCATGTTTCAAATCACCATGAGATTTTGCCCCAAAAGGAATTTGTTTTCAGTATTGATAGTTCTGAACTTGATGATGGTGATGATGGCCTGTGTGTTCTTGATCATGGCTTGATGCAGAACTGGCCTTGCTTATCCAAGCTTACCCCTGCTCACGACTTCCTCCCCCTCAACATTTTCCCCATTTCAGTAGTTATTATGATCTCATTGTCTATCAGAGGGATACTGGTGGTGGATGCTGTCATGACCTGTGGGTGATTCCCCTGGAATATAGCTACTTCACAGTTGTCTCTGCTCATGGAAGGAAGTTAACTCAGAATTTTTGCTACCCGGAAATTGTTTACGTCAGTAGTTTTGATGTGGTCGGGGCCTCACATTTGAGTTTGGGAAAAATCCAAGGATGCTACCATGTACTTCAAATCAATGAATCACGGTGTATTGCAAAACTCAGCTTAGGAAGTGAGACCCAGCTCAACTTCCTGGTCATGAAGCCTTCTTGATACAGTACACCTGGGGCACGGACAGCTCACTGTGACCCTCAATAAATAAAACTCCTCTTTAATCCATATTTTGTTCCAGAATGTGATTGGATTTCTGCGGGCCTCCAGGTTGTGATATTGGAATAAAATAAAAATAAAAATCTGAGACATCAACAAAGCAGGCAGTTAAGTAGGTTAGACACTGGTCGGAAAGGTACTTTGCAAACAAAAATAAAAATGGGTCTCTTAGATGAACGTTTCAGGAAGTTCTATTAATTCCCTTTTAAGATATTCGTGATGTGCCTTAGAATATTAAGGGCTCCAAGAAGTCCTACAATTTAAAAAAACTGTTTAGATTTGTTTAACTTAGGGTTTCCCAAATTTGTTTGACCCCAGAAATCTGTTCTAATGAAACGGTCTTAACATTCATGGGAATGGCCTGTAAAACTCACTTTGGAAAATGCTGATGTAGTCATTGTCAGCAAGTTTGACGATTCTATCCTGGTGGCCAAGCAAAGCAGAAAATGAATGTACGTATCATTCAGAACATCTCCTTTCCAGAGCTTTCCCATTGTATAGAAAGCCAGCAGAATTCAAGGGACTTCTTCTGCCTTCCCCTCCAACATTTATTAGTTCAGTGGCAGGAAGAGAGTTTCCACAGTGGCTGCTGTGATGATCAGGGGGTGAGATACCACAGCATTTCTGTCTGCAAGTCTGACTCAGGAGAGAAACCTCTTCTCTATCAATTCATGATTAAAAGAAGCCATGAATCATGGAAATTAAGGCTAAGAGATTCTTTCAGAATTCAACAAACAAACAAAAAATACCCTTGGTGATATCTTCAAAGGTCTCAGTTTCTGGAGGAAATGTATTACTGCCATTAGGGCAAGCTGTGTGTGCCCCTCTATCCTTCCCTCGGGCCAGGTGATTAACTGCTCTGACTTCCCGGTGGCTGTAATTGAGTCACCTCACCGCAGAGTTGTCCTGTGATCCAGCGCTAACCACATCTCTCCTCTTTGGCTAAGAAGAAACGTCTAGGCTGAGATAACAAAAAGCACAGAGCTGTTAGAATCTGCTACCTTCTCTCCCCTTCACTGAAAATGCTCTCCCTTCCCCATCGCCTGACCCTGTGTTTTATTTTATTTTATTTTGAGATCCAGAGTTTTGCTTTATTAGACATCTGTGAAGACAGTTTGCAGAAACAGTCAGATTGTGAATTGCTGCCACGTTCTGTGAAGTTTGAGTTTATAGTGAACAAGACCCCAGTGGCTGTTATTTTAGAATATATTTCCATATTCCAAGCAGATGAGACATGTGATGTTTATGGCCAACAGCTTTCATACTAGTCATCCACTTCAGCCATTTCCCAGCATAAATATGCAGCTTAATCCCAGCTACTTCATCTCTACAATGTGGGATTCGATCTTCAACTAATAATGCATTCTGACTCCCGTTTATATAGGTGCATGCAGTTAAGCAGACCTGGACTCTAACAGCTAAACTTGATCTAAATAGCATTCTAGGGGTAGGGCAGGCTCTGTAGTCCGGACTCATTTTAGCCATCTGACCCCATGTTTTAATTTGCGTTCTTGCTGCTCACAGAACACCTCACCTTGTGATGTCTGCAGTGTCCACACGAGCTAACACATCCTTTCATGATCGGAAGGAGTGATAAACACGTTTCCCGTTGCTGCCTTCCTTTGGAGAAAATACCTGTTCTGTCTGCATTATGCAGGGATGTGTAGGAGCTTCTAGGAGCTGTGATTCTTAAGGGGCTGTGAAGCAAGAAAGCATCAACCATTTGGAGAATCAGAAAATGCATATAAGGTGGAGAAGGAGTCCAAGTACCAATAACTGGCTTTCAGTGGAGCTGTTCTACACTTAGTCGTTCTACAAGTGGGTGCTAACCCAGAGACCGACCAGGCTGCCCAGAGCTGCAGGGTGGGACCATTAGAGGAGGTCTGGACCAACTGCGGTGGGGGGAGGTTTCAGCTGGAACCACAGGGCCCATCTTCTGTGTAGTACAGAACCCAAACCAGACATCCATAATCCCGTCTGGAAAGTGTCCTATTCTTCAGATGTGAGTACCAGGCTCTCTTAATTTTCTGTTCACATTTAGAGATTCAAAATAAGTGCTCAAACATGGATCTATTCTAGTCACAAAGACATGAGCAGAAAAGGAGGTAGTCTTAGCTGTAATTCTGAGTCACAAAAGAAATAAGAAAGTGTCCCCCACTTTCCCCACACAGTGGAAGTTATTTAAACCATCTGGATTCATTCCCCAGGATCAATAAGCTTCATAATTAAAATGCCAGTAGTAAGTGTAATTCACCCATGTCTTAGGGGGCACCCTGCTAATTTGCACGATTGCCAATTAATCGAGCTGTGTGTTATCGTCTAATTCAACATACTGAAGAACTATTTTTCTGGAATTCATTTACCATTAACAGGTCATCGTCTTGAATTTGGTAAGGCAGGGTGGGGAGAGGAAAGAGCATTAGCAATGGTTAGGACCTGCATTTCCTCAAAGATGTGATAAACTCTAATTTCTGGACATCTTGTTTACTTCATTTTAATTGTGTGTGTGTCTGTGTGTGTGTGTGTTAATGTAAACCCATTCATCACAGTTCAGATATAGTTTTCACTCACAGAGCAAAAAGCAGATTGACTAGACCTATGCTATGCAGTATGGTAGCCACTAGCCACATGTGGACATTTTAAATCTAAATTAAATATAAGAATGTAAAATTAAAATTTGGTTCTGTTCCAGTTGCACATTTCAAGTGTTCAGTAGCACATGTGACTAGTGGCTGCTGTATTGGACAGCACAGATATGGAACATTTTCATCACCAAAGAAAGTTCTGTTGGACAGTGCCGTACGAAGTGTTTCTGAAATGTTTATGATTTTATTTCAAGAACTTTTGTCACCTCCTTGTTTTTTACATGCTGGGGATTTGTCTGTTAATGGTATTTTTGTTTCTCTGTTTGCTTTCAGACATTGCCCTGGGACCTATGGACGGTAAGAGAACTAAGAACTCTGTATTTTGGTGTATCTGGATTGCTAGACATTTGGGAACCTTGTTATATTTTATTTCATCTGTGATGGAAAGAAGACCCAGATGTTTTTTGATGACAACGTAGTCCCCTAGAACAATCATCAGCTCCCTCATGATTTCTAAGCATTTACCTGCACATGGAAACAAAGGTGAGGAAAAGAATGTCAGTGCCAGACTCCTGGGTGAGCAGGAATTCAGTGTTTTGCCTTTTATGCATCCTCCTGTGATTATCGGTGGCCAGAGGAAATTTTGTAGCGAAGGCGTGCTTATTTGTTATTGCTTATAGAATACACAAAAAGTATGGATGAGAAAATGTGAAGGACGAGCTACTCTACACAGGGAACCATTTTTTCATTATTATTTTCAAGGAAGCTTATTAGTCAATGAGGATTTGAACCTCAGGGTCACACAGTCCTGGATTTGAGTCTAGACTCTAGTTCTTCCAACAATATGACTTTGAGCAACTTCTACTAAAACTCTTTAAGCCTCAGTTATTCTCATCTGTAAGATAAGGGTAATGACGCCGACCTCAGAGGGTTGTGTGAGGATTAGAGATAGTATTTGTAGAGTATTTAGCCCAATGTCTAGCATGTGTCAATACAAGGTAGATATTACTGCTCATGTTATGTATTCAGCTACTCTGATGTACAAGGATGAATACTTCCAGAATTTAGACTTCAGAATAAAACACAAACAGGCTGTTGTGGTGGTGACATCTGTGCAATTAAGAAAATGACTGCACCCACATAGAGCCTCACATCCCTTGGGGTAGGGCCATGGTCTACCCCTTTCTTAGAGAAGCCCTTGGTCACGTGGTCTTAAGAAATCAACTTGAGTTCACATTTTCTTCTTTTTTAGTGAGACAGCAACAGGAAAGTTGGGTAGATTTAACTATTCATGAGCCTGATCTTTTGAGGCGACATTGCTACTTTCTTTCCTTAAAACAGAAAGATGACTATCCCCTTCCCTTCCACAGGAGCTTAAAGCATCGTGGAAAGCTCTCAAGAGAAGAGCTAAAAAATGTTGAACGAAAACATCTTTTCTAGGGAGCTGGTTTTACTTGGATATTCGCAAAAAGGGATACGTGGATTGACATTCAGAACACTGGAAAATTCTAGCCTCAACTTTGTGTTAATTTTTTTTAAAGATTAAGAGGACAACGCTAATTTTGGTTATTCCAATATTTCATATGTTTAGTTGGAGCTATTACACACCTTACGTTCCCTAGCTGGGAAGGGTATAGAGAGGCTAAAAGTACCATCTAGAAGGAACGCTGACTAATTCAGAGGACAGACCTGCTAGGAATGGTAATGATGACAAGATTGTAAGACGGAAGCTCCCTGGGCATAATAGCTGACATTTCTTGATCTTTTCTCCTCGGTGTTATTTCTTTGTGTGCAGACAAGTCTTCTAGGTTGCGGGGAGAACAAGAGGAAAATCCTCCAGGCAGGCAGAGTGGTTAGTCTGTCGGATCATCTTCCATGCACACACCACTTCAAAGGCAGAACCAAGGGCAGGATGAGTTTGGGAAAGATTTTATTCTGACACTGTATCAGAGCACATGATGCTGTGTGATTCTGTGGCTGCTAATGCTTGATCTTATCCTGGTCTCCTCAGGCTTGCTTCTTTATTTGAAACTTTTCATTTCACAGTCTGCTCAAGCAAAAGTCATGTAATAGCCGTAAAACGTCCTTGTTGGTATTAGTAAATGACAGAGGCATTTTTCATGTTTCAATTGTGTAGTCTTAGCAATAGTGGAACAAAACTCATTCCTATTATAAAACAAGTTGCAAAACTTAATATGAAACCAATAAAAGCCAAAGTCTTCAGCAGTATGTTGACTTTGGACAGCCTGGGATTTTAATGTGCTACGGAATTTTCTTCTCTTGCCTTACGATTATGCTTATTTCTTCTTCTTCTTTTTTTTACTCATATAGACAAGCACTGATTTGGTACAACCGGTAGGTAAATATCCAGAAAATTCTGGATTTTTTCGGTACTTAATATGCATTGTATATGTGGTATATTATCTAGAATGAGCTCTTTTTTTTTTTCTCATGGCATTGTTAGTCACAGATTTAGCCGTAAACCATTTAATTTAAATACTTTCTAGCTTTGTGTAACTGGTGCTACCCTACTGAAGAGCTTTGTGTTTTTCATCAAATCTTACCATGATCTATTTCATCTTATGTGTTTTTTTTTTTCCTTTGCTTTTCTGCACACTCTAAAGACTGATTCTTCAAAAAGTCTTTCCCTGTGTAACCTGATCATGGAGGAACCTCCAGACAGTGGGTTGACCGAAGAAATTCAAAGATCTCAGATTGATTTAGGTGCAATTATTTGGGGCCCTGATGCTAGTACAGACAGTGTCAGCCAGGAAATTACCCAAGGTGGGTCGCAGGAAGACTCTGCATGTCTCTCCAAAGCAGAGCAGGAACTGGGATTTTCCACCGGGATACTTCCTGCTGCTGGCTGGCACACTGTAGCTGGACAGCGTGAGCATGGTCTGGGGGCAGCTGCTCCACGTGGAGAAGAACAAATGCCCCCAAATCCCATGCCTGGTGCTGCTTGTTTGGAGATGGCGCATCCTTGCGATCTACCTGACTCAGAGATACCAGCCGTGGAAACTGGTGGCCTGGTCAAAGAAAGTCAAGAAGATGTTAAAAAGTCAGAAGAAGAAGAAGGAAAACAGAAGATAGAAGATTCTGTCTGGGCAGGTGTGGAGACATATGAAAAGGTAGAGGCTGGAGCTCTTGGTGTCAAGGCCCTAGGAGGGACAGAGGAATTTGAAGAGAGAGGATGTACAGGAAACAGAGTAGTAGATCTTTTTAAGACAGTAGGAAAGCAAGACCAGGAGACCGTAAAAAGCAATGAAGAGGAAACTAAGAAAGATCTAAGTGCTGGGTATAAGGAAAGTGTAAAGACCAATGAAAAGTATCTTGAGAAAATTGACATATTTGAAAAAGACGTGGAAAGTGTAGACAGAGCAGATGAGTTGAGTGACAGAGACCAAGGGCTAGATGAAGGGATTCAAGTAGTAATAAATAATTGTGAAATTAGAGAGGGATCTGGAGCTAACCCTGCCAATCACACAGATATTTTGAATCCGCCTCTCCATACTGACTCTGTATCTAATCCTGAAGATGCCAGCACAGAGGAATGGTTCTTAGCTGGAAAAAACATAAAGAAAAATGTAATCGACCCTCCTAACCATGATAAAATGTATCACTCAGCACAGGGCAGTGCAGATGCTGAAGCGATGCAGTGTGAGGCTGTGTTACATGCGCCTGGAAGTAACAGAGATGGAAATCAGTCTGTTGTTTTATCGATAAAACATGAAGCAGCAGCTCAGTCTAGGACAGATCTTAATTATGCTCTGGGAACTAACGCAAACAGAAGAGATTGGTGTCTGTGTAAGGCTGAAGATTCATTAATAGAGGAACCTGAAAGTACAGTGACTGGGAACTGTAGCCATACCATTAACTTGCCAAAAATTGCAAAACCAGACTCTTGGGGGACAGATGCAGGTCAAATCTGGCAGCCAAGCTTGGATTCAGCAGTGAATAATACGGATATATTGGAGTTCTCTGGTATACCAGATGGCCAAGCAAGTGGATTTGCCAGTTGCTTTGATTCTATTAATCACTGGCCTATCAGAGATATGGGAGGCTTAGACAATTGCTGGGAACATGTAGACACAGTTGGGAGCAAGAAAGGGCTGGAGGTGGACTTACTAGCAGAGGTATGTGGGGAACAAGCCATTGCTAGCCATGGGGAACAGAGTCAAGAGATAGCTAGACCATTGGTTATGGGAACCTCCCAGAATGTTAGCACCGAGAGTTCCACTAGTCCCCAAGACAATGACACCAACAACTCAGATTTATCTGAAGATGAAATTGCTAACCAGAGATATGGATGGTTGTACCAAGAAATAGAGGCTGATAAAGAAGAGGTACTTACCCCAGCATGTAGTATAGACTAGCCAAAGACTTGTAGGTTCTGTTTTTCCTAATGTTTCTCACCGACTTCATCATCCATCACTATCTTCTCCAAGATCTGCTTCATCTCCTTGACAGACTGTCATGTACCTCTTGAAATCTGTGCAAACCAAACACAAAATAGGTTGACAAAACAAACAAACAAAAATCCCCCGGAACAACAACACAAAAAGCAGAATGATGATGTTGGAAACTAATGAGTGTCTACTTTACCATCCTATTTACTGTATTTATTCTTTCTACTTTCACTTTTATTGTTCAAGCACTAAATATATGTATAAAACAGACAGATTTACTGTTCCTAAAGTGGTTCCACCCCAGTAAAAACACATGAAATGTTTCTACCCAGGCCCATGGAAGCTATAAAATCTCATAATAGCTGTTCATCAAAATGATGTATTTAGAGAAATACTGGAAATGCTTCCAGATTCTATGGATGGCTAAAAAAACGAGCTATTTAACCACTCGTGGCTCTTGTCTGGAATCATGTTCTCATTATTGAGAAAGTGGGCTTTGGTTAGCCCTGAGCCACATACCAGCAATAATTGTAAAAATAATGTTGTTCTTTTTTTTGTCAGCCTATTTAAAATAATACAGTATGGCCTTTTCCATTTCCTAAGCATTTTCATGCACAGCAGCCTTTTGTATTATTTTAAAATTTGCAGTGGTTTTTACTTTCCCACTTGTCTAGTAGACATTTACCAATCCTACAAAAGTAATGAAAAAAATAACGTACTCTGATTCCCATTTCTGTTTAGGCTTCTGGAGGTCCATTTAATGGATTCACCCAGGTAAGAAATCAATTTGCTGGCAAAATCCATCTGTTGAGAATGATGCAAATCTGAAAAATATGGACCTCTGCTTGCTGGGATAGCATAATGTTTAAGTACGTCAGCATAAAATTTGAGCCCACATCTTGTGAATTCAGTAATGGAAACAGTAATAGGAGCAGTGTTGCAGCGTTGTTGTGAAGATTAAATGAAATGTGAACGTAGAGATTTAGCCCAGCAGCCTAGCACACACTAAGTGCTCCTTGACTCTAGTTAGCTCTTGTTAATATTATTAGGTCTACCATGGAATTCTGATGATGCCTCCACTAGAAATGAGAAGTTGTCTTTATCTGCGAGATCTCCTAGGTTCAGCTGTTGGAAAAGAGGAGATAGGATTGTTTTGAACTAATGAGATGGGTCTTTAGACAATATAAGAGATTTTTAGGAACCTCCTTCTAAATATTTATCTAAGAGTCATACTACGCGGAACCTTATTTCTTCAGTGGTTCTTCAGGAAGGAGCCACTGGAAGATCAGAAACCGTAGGTTGGCTCTGACCAATACGACGTGCCACACAGTGGACTGTCCCATTCACTGTATATGTCCCAACAGATGGACGGTGTAACCCATGTGAAAGGCAGGCCACGTGGCTGTCAAGTTCATGGAATAAGTTCTGAAAACCTCTTCAAGGGAGACTTCAAATATCTGCTTGTCTGTGATGAGTGCTCTTTCTCAGAATATTAGACATGAACAATTTTGAATTTTAACATTCAGAATTTCTCCATTTAAAAGTTTGACTACTTTCCCCCATGTTACCTATAAAAAGAGAAGACCCACTGACTCACACACCTACCCCCAAATACAGGTAACACACAAACGCACAGAGAGATGATAACATGTCTCTTCCATAGAAGAGAACTCCTTTGAAAGATCGGGTCATGAGAATTCATTTCTTATTTTTTAAGTTTGTATTTATCACTTATAAATGCACATAGTTTAAAGAGTAACAACATTTTATAAGGTTTTTTTTTTAATTTAAAAACTTCAGACCATCTTACATCCCCTGATTTCCTGCTTCTTAGAGGAAAATACTTTCACACCTTGTAGCAGATTCTCTGATTTCACCCCCATATGTGTGCATGACTTTCTTCTAATGCTCCTTCTTGATTTCCGAAGCATTAGCTATGGACTTATCTCTCTGGAAGATGAGGACTTAAAGCGCTTTCAACCTGCTGTGGCCACAGTTCACATCTCTTTCTGCTTCCTGTCCTTCCACTGATGTCATAGCCAGCCAGCCAATCATTGGTGGTATTATCACGATGCTATAGACGCTCTTAGTGCTCAAGTCATGAAGTTTACATTTCCTTTTATGCCAACGTTTTTTCTCCTTTGAGGAAATAATTGTAGGGTCTTGTTTGTTAGCATGTTGGTTTGTTTGCTTAGTTTTCTAGGTACTTATTACTAATTCAACCCCATACTCTGTGGTTATAGAAATCTCCTCTCGTTTTGTTTAAAACATTAAACATTCTTTAAGTTTCATCCTCCTGAAGGTTGAAGCTATCCTCTGGATGGCTCCAGCCTGACCTGGGGATTCCATGGCTACAACTTGCTGCTACGGCTATTGTCACAGGGTCTCCCATCACGTCTACTGTGGGGATTGCCTCACCTGTCTTCTGTCCATCCACTCTTTTCAGGACACAGATTGTCCTCATTTGGGGCTAAATTCCTCATTTGGGTAGAGCACATCCTCCAGTAGCTTGCTGAGAAAGGTGTGCGCAAGAAGCATGTATTTGTGACCTTCTCTGTTTGAAAATATTTGTGTTCCCATGTACATAATGGACTGTAAGTTTGGATATTATATTACAAGTTGTAAACTGTTTTCCTTTAGAATTTTGGAGCCATTGCTCCACCCGATTCTACCTCCTAGCCTTGCCACTGAGAAATTGTCATTTTGATTCTTGATCTTTTGTAAGAAACCCTCTCTCTCTCTCTCTCTCTCTCTCTCTCTCTCTCTGTGCTCCCTTATGTACCCCTCCCACCTTCTTTTTCTCTTTCTTTCTGAAAGTCTGTGTAATCTTTATACCCCAGTGATTCTAGGATTTTACAGTGATGTACTGTGGTCTGAGTCTATTTTCATACATTGTACTAGGCCCTTTTCATCTAAAGACTGTGTCTTTCAGTTTGGGGGACTTTTTCTTCCTGATGATTTCTTTTGCTTTCTTTTGTTTTCTCATTCTGTAACCCTTCTCTTTTTCATATGCTGGCTTCTTGAGCTTGTCTTCTAATTAATTCTTTTTCTTTGCTTTTCCCTTTTCTCTTTCTCTGCTTTCCAACTCTTCCAACAGATTTTTCACTTCTGTATATTTTTTTAATTTCCAAGAGCTCTTTTTGTTTACTGAATATTTGGTTTTTAATAACATCCTCTTCTTGTGTCATGAATACAGCATCTTCCATTATATTTCCAAGGGTATTAATAATAATAATTTTCAAAGGTCTTTTCCCCCCTGTAAAGTCTTTGTTTCTTCCACTCTTTTAAACCTATTCGGTCTCCCTTTAATATTTGAAACTTTTCTTAAATGTTTGTTAATCTTGGCTGTCTCCTCGTATTTAATGAGAGGGGGACACTGAAAAGCTGAGAGACTTGTACAAGTAGGTAGAGCTCATTGACTATGGGTATTGTTGTAGGATTCTGTTGTAGGATTATCTTTCCTGTTGAGGAATTCCTAGTGTCAGATTCTTTAGGCTTTTTTTTTTTTTCTTGAGCTGGTCATATTTCCCTGGGAAGACTCTTCTGGTCTCCTGTCTGGGTGTGTGCAGGGGTGCAGGGGTACAAGCCTGGCTGCCAGTGTAATGGGAGTTGAATGGGGAAGAAGTTGGGAGAGGAGGAGCCCATGTCTAAATATTTATTATGTAAATTTTCATTTAATCCTGCTGCTTTCCTAACATGCCTGTGTGTCCCCCAGTCCAGAGACCCTCTGTTTCAGCCTCTGAAAATAATCTCAAGTCGGGGGTGGAAAGGGTATTGCTTGGTTTTCAGGTAGATGAGAGTATCTCCAGGTCTAAGTACTTTTTAATAGACTTCCAACCAGTTCCTCTGTCTTTAGCAGCATCCTAATTTCCATTTCCTGTGGTCCCCATCTTTCTAATTCTTGATCCATTGGGATTTATGAGTAATAAATTGGCTTGCTTTTTGGCATTTCTTACATCAACTTAAGGTACAGATGTTTTTGGTTCCCCAGGTTACCTACTGTTCGTTCATTTGCTTTTCAGTTTCAGAATTTTGTTGACGTTGTTTTTGTTCCCATTCTTTTTACCCTTATGGGTTTATGCCTTTAATAATTAATTTTCTTATTGTTATTTAGTTTGGATTCTGGAGGTAATTGCCTGTGTTCAATCCACCATCTTTAACCAAATGTCACTGGCTCATCTTTTCTGTTGGGGAACCGTTGATGTTTAATTCTTTGGGGATTTCTTTGGTCAGATTACCCAGGAAAGATTCTTTCAGTCTCCTGTTTGGAGGGTATAAGTCTGGCTACCTGATGAAGATTCTCCTAGAGACCACTGTTCCCTGAGATTTCCTCCACCTTGATTTTTTTAGGATTCGTATCCTGAATGAATATATTGTATACAGTTTTTAAGTTATGGTTCATAATTAACTCATAGAAGTCACACTTCAGTGATATAGTAAGATTAAGGTTCCAACATTTTAAAACGTTTAAATTTGTAGCTTAGATCCATCAAATTCTAACTTGATGTTGATGTCCAGAGGAGAAGCTGCAGACCAAAGATGCCTCTGAAGACACTGCCCTTTACATAATGTCTCTCATCAGATCATTGAATTCTGCTAGCTCAGGTTTCTATGTAGAATAACTGCTGGCAAAAAATTATCTCTGCATGTTTTGCTTTTCTGATTTAAATAAAAAGAGACTAAAAGAACTTTATAATGTATTTATTGACACAATTCATGCGAGCTAATCTATATGATACCTTTGTTGTTGCTTTTTTGGCAAATTACCTGAAACCCTAATAATTTTGAATATTCTACTTTATTCCCAATTTTCAGCCGCAGGACACTACATTATTCACGATGCAGACAGACCAGGATATGATCTGTAACTTGGTAAGCTGATTTTGGTTTGTGTTTTGGGGATGTTGTTAGTTACCACCAAATGATCCAAGGTTGATCTTTGTAGGTTATTTAGAGCCTGAAATCCAGCGTGTGGTTTCTGTAGCCCCCTCTTTTCTAGAAAATGAGAAGGAGAGCTTCCGAAAAATCTCAGTGTGACTTTGAATGTGGCTGCTTCTGTTATAAAGGCACAGTGATCCCAGCAAAAATCAGTCTCTTAATTACGGGCTTCAGTGGAACACAGTCTATCCATCAAGGACATGGGTGTTTCTTTTTTTTTTTTTTTAATTAAAAAAATAAATTTATTTATTTATCTGGCTGCGTTGGGTCTTTGTTGCTGCGCGCGGGCTTTCTCTAGTTGCAGTGAGCGGGTGCTACTCTTCGTTGCGGTGCGCGGGCTTCTCATTGCGGTGGCTTCTCTTGTTGTGGAGCACGGGCTCTAGGCGTGCGGGCTCAGTAGTTGTGGCTCTCGGGCTCTAGAGCGCAGGCTCAGTAGTTGTGGCGCACGGGCTTAGTTGCTCCCCAGCATGTGGGATCTTCCCGGACCAGGGAACGAACCTGTACATGGGTGTTTCTGAGTGACTGTACCTTATGCTACGGGACTGACGATGAAATTGCCTCGAGAATTCATGCTTGAAAGTAGATCCTTGCTTTTCCTTAAACCGGAAGCTACCTCATTTCTCATGTCCTCCCTTCATTTTGTGAGTTGTAGAAGGAAGTAATGCACAGTAGAGGTAGGATTCCTACTTTGCTGTCAAACGAGATGAGAGAAAAGCTTAGCTGGGGAGTGAGGAGGCAGAAGGGTTACTCTGGGGGTTAGAGGAGATTCTTACAAACTCAGTTATCATGGGAAACGTTTTTAGCAGCAGCTTACTCGTCAAGTTGAATGAAGAGACCTTGAGTGACATCACTGAGAGCTTCCCAGTGCTACAGGGGGTTTGGGCTCTTTGAGGATTAGTTCGTGGTTATGTGTAGCACACTGGTTTTCCCGTGGGAATGGCATAGGATTATCCCAGCTTCTGGCTTTCGTTTTGGAAACTTAGAATTGGGTTTAAGGAGAAGGAATTTTTCCTTTCAGGTGATTTCACTTCTAAGTAAGGATTTCTGCTCCGGGAAGTTTGTCTTCAAGGCTAATTTGATATTTTTCAAAGGCAAGTGTTTCTCTAGCACCTTGTCTAGAGATGGTTGTATTTTTGCCTTTTGGGTAACCAGATAAAAAGGTGGAGACTGTGAGGCCTGAAAATAAAATTACAGTGTTTAAAATTCAGATTATATTGATGTTAATAATGGAGCCAGAGAGACCTCCATTTCATGGTCATTGGTGGTTTTCAGTCTGGGGTGCTGATGGAGTAAAGGTTATACTGGTGCTGGAGGATGAGATTTTTAATTATCAATTGAGAATGGGTTAAGAAAAATAGAGGGACCCTGGTATAAACGAAAAGGCAATGGGTCATCATTAAATTCACACCTATTACTGTTGCAAATTCCTGGCATAGAATCCAGTGGTTTTTAAGTTTCTCTGAACATCTCTCTACCCCCTACAGCTGGTTCTAGGAGCTTCCATTGCCTGCCCTCCCCTTCTCTTTTTATGTGTTCTCTGAAGCAGACTTCTTGTACCTTCTTTCCATTGGGGAACTTAGCTTCGTCATTCCCAGCATTGTAGATGCTGCTAGGGTTGCCCTGTGGGGAACTAGGAATCGCAGTGACCCTCTCCCACTGAGCTGTGATTATATGGGATCTTCCCGGGAGCAGGGCAGTGTCCCAACATGGGTTCATTGACTGGTCTGAGCAAGGTGGAGGCTGCAGGTGGTAGTCAACTGCACATCTCCCCAGTCTGCATCTTATGGCCCCACGGGACATTCCTTGTGTACAAGTTTAAACCTTTTTGAATCTGCAAACCCTGCCCTGGGCTCGGGGTTGCCTCCCTGGCCCTTTGAAGTTCTCAATAAATTAGCTCTCCCCAGTTTGGAGAAGCAGGATCATAAGGTAGTCGCTATATTGGAATGTGACTAGACCCTTAACTCCATTCTCCCAACCCATCTCTTCTTCCTCTGCATTGACCTTCTTTCTAGCTTATCACAGAGGATGCCGGAACATGTGCACCAAAGTTACACTACTCGTTTTGTTCTAAAACAATTCCATTTCTGAGTCTCAGAGTTAAACCATTGTGGCATCCTGCTGTCAGTAATAAATATAGAGTATACCTCTCCTCTGAATGTATAATGGTCTCTACTCCAGCAAACAATAGCAAGTCCTTACCAGCGCTCCCAGGTGTGTATGGCATGGTATCAACCCACTTGCAATGCTTGTCAAGGGAGGCTTCTTATAGAAAAAAAAGTGGTTGAAACAGGGCACAATTCCTATAGGACTACTCTGAGATCTTTCTACACGATGTTGTTCACAATTTACCTTTGTTTTTCTTTCTATCTTGACAAAACATTTTCAATTTTGCATTATCTTAGAAGAATTAGGAAAGTGGTTTCTATTTCCGGAGTTGAGTAGCTGATTTTATGTGCAAACATGCTGTCACGCTTCAGCCTTACTCATCATTCAGTGAGTTCCATTTGTCCCCCTAGAATTTAAGTTGTTAAGTGTGTAATGCTATATTGTAATATTCGGTGTGATATTATAAATAGAGAAAAATGTTGTGACTCGTAGGACATAACCCGTCTCTCCTCCCCTTCATACTTTGCTTTCATTGAGTCATTGTCTGACCTCAGCAAGGAGACGCCATTGGACTTATTCATGAAATCACCCTAGTTATTCTCGCCGTCTGTAAAACTTCAGAATTTCCTCGCACTTCCAAGAAACCCAGCCTCTGATGCAAATATGTTTTCATTTTAAGTTATCTCTGTGTTTGGTTTTCTGGGTTTTTTCTTAATGTGCACAGATATATTTATTTGATACACGTTTTGAAACTTCTCTTGACCCCTCATCCTCCATTGCAGACTCAGCTCGCCGGGGGACAGCCATCAGCCTATGGGTTTCTTGCTCTTCGTCAAATTACCCTTCCTATCCTTGTTGTGTAGGTCATCTGATACCATTCTCTCATAGCAAATCACCTCGACTTCCAAAGTGGTTAGATCATACTCTGAGAGCTTACAGTAGCTCTTTGCTGCAAGGAAAACTCAGTCCATTATGAAGATAATTCCTTTTGAACAATACAAGTGAAATCTTTCCCCATAAAGGACTCCTGAGAGTAGATGAGAGTGAATTTTATCTCACTCTTTCTTAAAAATTGTGTCTGATCACCCCTTAAAGCTTATAAAAGCCCATAAAAATATCAAACCTCTGTACATTTATCTCCCTAAGTGTCCTTTCATTTTATGAAGCCCTTTCAAGAGAAGGGTGGTATGACCTTGGTATGCGTCACAGTGGAGGTTTTGGTGGAGGGCACAAGACAAATATTTTGCGTATTTATCCAACAGCAGGCTATCGTTATTTTCTATAATCTCAGCATAACTTCTCCATCACTTCCCCACGCAGCTTGCCATGTGCACCAGCTTCAGTGGACACATGGGAGAGCTAGAGATGGCTTTTGATTGCGTATGGCGAATGTCTGATGGAAGTTACTGATTCCTCCAAAGGAAGTATTTATTGGAGACTCCATACTCCTCTAGGAAAACGCTTTTAAACTTTCTTATGGTTTAAATGCCCTAATAGAAAATGATCTTAAAGTGCCCTACAGTGGCCATCCATTTAGTGAAATAGTCATGCTAAGTAGTGTGTTTACATTCATCTATAAATCAAAAGAGAGGAAACAATTTCAGTAGCCGTGGTAACTTGCATCGGCTGTGCTGTTTTTCATAGCCTGTTGTTATTTAATCATGCTAATTTTAAAACTCAAAAAATCTGGAGGTAAGAGATGCCAGAGGCTTGATTCAGCATATAATTGGAATCAGGAGGGTGTCTGTGTGTAGGGGTCACAGTGGGAAGAAAAGACCTCACTCTTATCCACACAAGTAGAAGAGTCTAATTGGTACCACAGAGAATACTGCCTGTGGTTCCCTAAATAATTAGTTTATTATATGAAAAAAAAAACACAAAAAACTGATGGCTAAGGATTTTGTTGGAGGGAAAAGTGGAATAAGGGAACGAACAAAATGTAAGGCAGCCAAGTATCTATGACTGTGGTGTCTCCTTGCCAGGTGGTTGGATCTACTCCCAGCTGGGGCAGTTGCGCAGTAACTTCATAGTGACCTTTTCATGCACCTTAATGCGTTTTGATCTGAGTATGGGGATGGCCCCTCATTTTTTTGGTTGCATTGCATATCAACAGAGGGGGGAGGTTCCAGAATTGTGTTTCCGTGAGCTCTTCCCTACTCCTTCCAATTTCCAAAGGTGGGAGCTCCTAGGATCTCTCCTCTCTCTGCTCAGTAGTGGAAAGTACCGTTTCAGGATGTCTTATAGATGACCTAAGGAAGTGAATACTCAGAATGTTGAAAGTAAGTAAAATGAGTAGCCAAAATGGTAAGTCTTTTTGCCCAACTTCAAGGGATATAACAGTGCTTGGTGATGGTAATGTGAAGCTTAATGAGAGTTTATTCCTAGACTTTTCAGTTGTGTAAAGACCCATCATGCCTAATGTGCAGGTTTTTTCCAGCACAGATTTAATGAAGCTAATTGCCTGTAGGATGACGAAGACAATCGTAATTGTCCAGTATTCCGTCATGTTATCTATTCACTTGTTGAATCTTTTTCCTCTAATCCTCAAACCATCAAAGGCTGAACCCGAACAGCCTCCGCCCACAGAGCCGAAAGCAGAGGAGCCCCCAGCTGCTGTACCACCTGCTGCCGGGCTGGACCTTGGACTTGACACCCAGGCTGAGGAGCCAGTGGAGGGGGCAGAGGTGAGCGCCACCTCCCTTCCACCCTCCCCCCCCACCTCCCCTGCCATTAGCTGTGCTCATCTCATCATCCCATTTCTCCCTTCTCATTCATGCTTCACTTGGACCAAATCACCTGCGTATCTGTCATGGCTCCCCAGGTTCAAATGGCCTTTACTCCTTTGACAGGGAAACTGCATATTGTTTTTTTTTTAAGGAAGATATCCAGAGACGTGCTCTTGTAGCCACAGGCTTGCTTCTCAAAAAAGGGTGCCTTGATTCTTTCTGATAACTCTCCCATTCATGGTCAATAGGTTGTAATAACTCACAGATAACCAGACTTGTTAATGCTCCGCCCCACCTGTGATGGCTGGAGATGGGCCTTCCATTAGGGACTAACCTGCAGATGATAGACAGAAGGGTAATCACCTTGTTGGTTGTGTCTACACATTGATTTCTTACAATATTAGTTTTGTAGGTTGGTGAAGGCCCCAGGAGGGACTGAAATCCGATATTAGAAATCCTTGAATCTATAAAGACTTCTGTGGGAACAACTATTTGCTCAAAGTCAAGTCTGGTGCTGGCTGTTATAGCACAAGAGAGCTTGAGGATGTATTTTGTGCAAGAGTGGAGACTCATTTGTCTGCCTGGAACCCTTCTCTAACCTGCTCCTTTCAGCCACACACCACACCACATCGAAAACTGGGATGGGCTCTATATGCACCCTATTGAATTGGATAAGTTAACACATGTGAAAGTGTAGAATGATACCAAGGAAAATTTACCAGGGAAGTGTACCAAAGTTTCCCAGGGAGAGTGAACAATAGTTTACTTATGAAATGCAGTTAAAATATCTCCCAAGAATTTCAATCAGGGTACCCTACAGCCTTCCCAGAATCTGTACAAAGAGAGAGACCAGGCTTCCCTGGTGGCGCAGTAGTTGAGAGTCTGCCTGCCGATGCAGGGGACGCGGGTTCGTGCCCCGGTCCAGGAAGATCCCACATGCTGCGGAGCGGCTGGGCCCGTGAGCCATGGCCGCTGAGCCTGCGCGTCCGGAGCCTGTGCTCCGTAACGGGAGAGGCCACAACAGTGAGAGGCCAGCGTAACGCAAAAAAAAAAAAAAAAGAAGAAGTAGACCAATCTCCCTATTCCCAAAATAACATTGCCTAGGTGAGATAACTAGAGAAATAAAAGCTATATTTTTGCTGTCAGTGCCCTAGGTTGTTTTACTGGGAAAAGGGTAGGTCATCTGTCAAATGTATTATTTATTAACAGAGTAGAAAAAATAAATAATAGGGCAAGATAGTGATGCAAAATACAAATTAAGAATTACTCAAGAAAAATGATCGTATTTTCCATGTAAAGGTACACAGTTGGACCAAGTTTTGTAAGGAAAACAAGACTGTGTTCTGCTAGACTGAGTCCCTCCTAAAAAGGCTGTTTGCACAGATTGTAGACTGGGAAGTGCTGAGGTGCTGTGCTCCAGTGTCCGGGATTTTTCTTCTTAACTCTCATTCCCAGATTCGCAGGTGATCTTAGTAACTCAGTGCAGACGGAGCATTTTCATTTGGTGTCAGATCTCTCCGCTCAGCTTAGGATGATTTAAATAACAAAGGAAGGGAAAGAGACAATTGAATATTCGAATGCTGTTACAATTAAGAAGAAAATTGATTTTAAAAAGAATATGGACCATGCCAGGGAGTTAGAAAGATATTGATTAGGTTCAGATATTGATTTAGAAATGGCTTCGGTTCTGAAAGGTTGTCATCAAATTTCTGTTTCGAAGAGCAGCACAGACTCCATCTTTACCAGTGCTTTTTTTAAAATTAATTTTTATTGGAGTAGAGTTGATTTACAATGTGTGTGTGTGTTACTTTCTGCTGTACAGCAAAGTGAATCAGTTACACATACACATGTATCCACTCTTCTTTAGATTCTGTTCCCATATAGGTCATTACAGAGTATTGAGTAGAGTTACCTATGCTATATAGCAGTTATCTATTTTATATATAGTAGTGTATACCAGTGTTTTTAAACCCAGTTGATTCAGTGCCCCACACTATTCAGCGTAAGGCTTAATGACATCAACGCCCACGGTTTTGAGCAAAGGTATTCTGGGTTTGACAGTAGGCTGGAGATGTGAAATAGACAAGCTCATGTGTTAAATACAGGCTCGAACATTGATCCTCTAATGGCCGTGACCACATAACCTCTCATACCCATCCTTACTTCAACAAACTTATATAAGTAGGTTTTGTTTTCTCAAAGTCTAAGTTCATTGGTTTTCCAATGAAGAATCTGAGTAGCTACCCATTATCAAGTACCTACTACATATATGTCGTACCTACTACGTATATAAAGATTTATAAAAGAATTACAATCTTTTAAATCAAGGGTGGTGTTAAAAATATTTAGCAAACTGTATGGTATAAGCATCAACCATTACTAGAACGGGCTTCCCTCATGTTGGGTAAGGAGATGTTTGGAAGCATTCTTTTTTTAAAAAAAATATTTATTCATTTGGCTGCGTCGGGTCTTAGTTGTGGCACGCGGGATCTTTGTTGCGGCACGCGGGCTTTTCTCTAGCTGTGGTGCGTGGGCTCCAGAGCACACGGGCTCAGTAGTTGCCCCGCCGCATGTGGGATCTTAGGTCACTGACCAGGGATCAAACCCGCTTCCCCTGCATTGGAAGGCAGATTCTTAACCACTGGACTACCAGGGAGGTCCCTGGAAGAATTCTTCATTCTGAAAATGCTTGTCTCCTAAAGCTTATGTGAACTTTAGAGAATAGAAAATTTAGATTCCTTGTGAAATGCAAGGCAGTTTGGAGAATCTTATGAAGGATTCAGGCACCTGCTGAGATGCAGAGATGATTAAGAACAGCAGGTCCTGAGCTGACCATGTGAGTCATCCCCTCTGAGAAGAAAAAGTTCAAGCAGTTGATTTCTCCACCCTCAAATGGACTAAAAAATAATAGTAAGAGAAGGCAGTTTCCAGCAGTTTGATTTGCCTAATACTCATCCGACGTGGCTACTTTTCATGTTTTAAAATGGACACACTTGGATAAAGTCAGTTCTCCCCCCAAGTCCACCCTTCTACTTAAGAAAATAATCTCTGATAAAATGTGTTTTTGTTCTCTTAATGTAGGTTTATAGCTTCTTTTTTCTGGTCATAATTGAGATAATATTAGGGTTATTTACTCTAAAGAAATCTCTCTTCTGTTGCTAGATGTGTGATATTTAGTTGTAAAGAGATGGAAATCCACACCGTGTCCCGAGCATTAATTAGAAGGTTGGCTGTGGCTGTCATCGGTCACGATGGGGTTGATGTGACCTTTTGAGGTCATCATTTTTGCTGCCGAAATGTCACCACACGGTTATTATTTCCAGTCTTGACAGAATGCATTTCGTATGAGGTGAAATTTGTGGTGTTTTGTTAAAAAAAAAAAAAAAGAGGCAAATGTAATTTCGAAAACAGGAAATTTGAGCAGCAGTTCACAAAGAAACCTCAGGCTCCCAAGAAAAGTTTAATTATTACATTTTTGTTTGTTGTCTCATTCCCCACCTAGCTTATATTGTTTTTAGTTTTTCCCTACAACACCAAATTTTACCAGTATATCTGCAGGATACGTTTTAAAAACCAACACTTGCTACCTCTTCTTCAGACGTTTCCATGTTATATAAGTACTGAAATTTTTCTTTAGAAAAAAAATCAATATTTGTTTAGAAATATATCAGAGAATTAGGTCAAAACCAGATAAAGATGATTTTTACCTACATTTATTTTATTTTCTTGCAGAGAATCCCTTCTAACTTTCTCTAAATTTCTGTCTGCTCCTATATTTTGCTCCAATGATGTGAAGTGGACCAATGTCTTTTTTCCCCATTATTTTTAAAGAAATAATGCAGTGTAATAAAATTTAGGGTTAACATTGTTTCCAAAACAAATAAATGGGGAAAAGATCGAGGTAGATATTTTTAGAATTTTAGAATTTTTAGAATAATTTTAGAATCCTGGAAGGTGAAACACTGACCCATTATTTGAGGAACTACTTTTGTGTTTCGTTTTTCGAACATTTCACCAAACTTAAGTTGACTTGTCAGGGCCAATTTAAACCAACAACTATAGATAGATTGATGATAGATAGATAGATACATAGATACATAGATGATAGCTGATAGGTAAACAGATAGATGATGATGATAGATAGACAAATGATAGATAGTTAACTGATAGGTAAACAGATATAGATAGATTAGATAGATAGATGTTAGATAAACAGATAGATGATGATAGATAGGTAGACAGATGATAGATAACTGATAGGTAAACAGATATAGATAGATAGATAGATAGATAGATGATAGATAATAGGTAAACAGATAGATGATTTATAGATGATAGATAGGTAGATAGATACGTAAACAGATACATGATACATAGATACATAGATAGAGATATACACTATGATCTGTGAACTTCATCTTTCCAGGAATATTTCTATCTGTGTTTGTAGAATGCATGTACTAGTTTCCTCCTTCATTCAGCTCGTAGATGTAGCTGAGTCCTCGCTAGATGTCTGGCTCTGTTCTGGGTCTGGGGGATACGATGATGCAGGCAGTAGATACGCCTCCTGCCGTCCTGGTTCACACAGACTGGTGCTGGGTGAGGCGTACATTACACAGTAGTCCAGGCATCCTTCTGTGATGGGCCTGTGTGTGGGCAATAGCATTGAGTTTTCTCCTTGTGCAGAGTGAACATGGGAGCTCAGGCTTCCAGTGTGCCTCTAGATGTGAGCTCGGATCTGTCAGAGGAAGACCTGAGGAACAGAGGAAGCCAGTAATTTCTCGTCTGCCCTTCAATATCACAGAATTATGTCCACACACAAAGTGCTCACTCTGAAGCATGCTTCAAACTATAATGTATATAATTATATATGGATATGGATATATATGGCGATAGATAGATAGACAGACAGATATGCATGTCTTGGAGATAGATGTACCTTTTTTACCTTTCTCAGA